AATCAGCTGTTCTGATGATCAGCTGTTCCAACAATCAGCTGTTCCAATAATCAGCTGTTCCGGTGATCAGCTGTTCCAACAATCAGCTGTGCTGTGATCTCCTTTGCTGTCTTACTGCTTCACCCAGGAGGTTTCCCTGAGGCCTAGGAGGCAAAAGGAGGGGGGTGCATGGCCATGCCCATCTAGCCACGCCCATCTAGCCATGCCCATCACATGCCCATCTAGCCATGCCCACAGAACCAGTAGTAAAAAATATTTGCACCCCATACCTGCCTGTTGTATCAGGTAGCCAGGAGTTCCCTAGTCTCTTTTGTGTGTGTCTGTGTCTGTGTGTATGTTTTATGTTTTGGTTGTGAGTGTGTCTGATTTAAAAAAAAATCTTTGGGGCTGGATTTTTCTCACCACAGCTGGAAGAAGTACGCTCCGGGCTGGCCAAGATGCATCGATGCTCACACCATCGACGACCTGCATTCAAATTCAAAGTATACGCTCAGCAAAACGGCTGTCTTTGCCGTGCGCACCCTCAAGTCGTGAGTAATGGATGTGGTGGCTCAGGATCTGGAGCAGAGCAGATTAAGAGAGCGGGAAGGGACCTTGGAGGTTGTCTAGACCAACCCTCTGCTTGAGCAGGGCAGCCAATAGCATTTCAGACAAAGGGCCATCCAGTTTTGTCTGAAAAACTCCAATAACAGAGGTCCCAGTAGTGGCAAGCTGTTCCACGGATTAATTGTTCTAGAAATTCAGCATTCTAGGTCTCTCTCTCCCTCTCCTAGTAAAACAGAGAGGATAGCATAGGTTAGAAACGCAGCTTGGGAGATGTACCTTGAGGGCATCCAATCTCACCCTCCACCAAGGGCATGGGTTCAAAGCCAAGATCCCAAAGGAAATTTTTCACCACCTTTGAGGACATTTGCCATTGAAACGAAACAAGAATAATGTACGGTTACAATTCCAAAGGCGGCTAGCGCAGTCAGGTTCAGCCTTAGCAACTTGGAAGTTGTGTGGAGTTCGACTCCCACAATCCCCCCTGCCAGTTTCCCTGTTCTTGTCCTTCCTCGCAGGGAGATTGAACTGAGACTGAAGGGCTTCTCTGACCTCGTGGAATCGTGGGAGAGCCTGGATGATCTGCGCAAAATCTTTTGGTTTCACAAAACTCCCGTCACAGGTGGGTCTCCCTTTCGCCAAGTGATCCAAAAACAGACAGCAGAGATGATAGGGGGGGAGAGAGAAAGAGAGAGGGGGGAGGGGGGGGGGGGGGGGGGGGGGGGGGGGGGGGGGGGGGGG